CTTCAGGGTTTAGGGCGTCTAGGGTTTTGTAGGGTATACCTTAACCCTGAAAAACCTACCATGTCAGGGTTCCTTATTCTGAGTGCTTTATATAAGTCCTTAAAAAGGTAAGTTATTCGGTGTTAAGGTAGGGCTGAGGGTTTAGGGGTAACTGGATACCCCGAGCTGTGAACCAAGGAAGTCAGGGTGCTAGAGCTGCAGTAGTTGAGTGCACTACTTGCAAGCCGAAGGGAAACTTGCCTGTCGGGTTGGAGATTTTGCTGCAATGTCACCCTAGGGCTCGAGTTACCCAAATAGTAAGTTACTGGGGTACATAATCTATGGCTAGTAACCTACTATTTAGGGAACTGGAGCCCTAGGCTCAATTTCGGCGAACCCAACGGGACCCAACATGATTAGACAAGGATGAGCACAGATAGTGAGTATTCCTCAAGTTCTAGAGGGCTTTCCTTGGAGAGGGCCTTGAACCCTAAGCCCTGACGCCCAAAGCCCTAAACCCTGAACTCTAAAACCCCTAGACCCCCTAGACTCCTAAACCCTAAACCCCCCAAATCCTAAACTCCTATAAACCTTAACTTTGTCGAAGTTGGGTAACATTTTACATTTTTATGTGTACTTAAACCCAATAAGGAATAAAGATGTAAGTTTTTAATCCTATCCCAACCATGAACTGGTTAAAGGGAACCCCGAGCCATAATGGGCTAAAGAAAGGATTTCCTAGACTCCTAAACCCTAAACCCCTTAATCCCTAAACTCCTAAGCCTTAAAGGGAACCCTGAGCCATAACGGGCTATGGTAGAAGCCCAAAAGTCGGAAACCCAATAGCCTCAATCCTCAAGAGTCATGTATTTGGAATCCCAACACTATTTGGCCTTAATCACGTTTCCAACTTTTCGGTGTTTACTATAAAGACTCAGATAGTGAACGGGGAACTTTAAACTTTTTGGCCTTATATATTTGCTCTATCTTAGAAAGTTTGAACTTTTGGGGGCCCGGCTGTTGAAGAAGAGACCCCTAGGTATATACCCTTAAGGTAGGGGTCCCCATTAAGGGTCCCTCCTTTCTCCCTTTGAGTTTACTCTAAAGAAAGGATTTCGGGGTTTCTACTAAGGATCCTACTATGTAGGGTACTCTATTACATAGGGTCCCCTACTTTCAGAAACTCCCTTATAGAGCCCTGTAAAAAGCCCTTTGGGGTTTCTGGACCCTGCTCGGAGGTCTCCCCAGGCTGCGGCTGGGCGGACCATTCCCCGGTCTTCGCAGAGATCGAGCGCCCCGGCTCCCTTAAATTAGAGAGGGGGTTCCTTTAAAGGGTTCTTTAAAAGGGTCTATAAGGGATCTACAAGGATACTATAATATATGGGCCTTAACCATTAGAATAGGGTTTTGGGTATATTATACTATAATTTATATTACGGAACCCCCAGCACATGTAGGAACCAGATTAAGAACCCTTGGGCCTTTATTCGGGCTCCTTATATGAATCCTATCATTTTGGGCTTATAGGCCAAGGGTTTGTTAATCAGGTTTCTACAATACCCAATTTCCTCCATGTCCATATCCACCTTAGGGTTTAGGGTTTTCCACCTCCTTAGGCTGAAAGAGAGTTACATCGAGCAAGCTTGGTACCTCCTTCCTGGTGATTGCGCTCAATCAGCACATACGGAATCAAACCAACGGCGAGCCACTTGTACCCCGCCAAAAGGCTTGACATGGATTTTCTTAAAGATGTCCTTGTAAAGGTCTGCGCATTGGGAAGACCTGCACGACAGTTTTGAAACATACTAGACCAGCTTATCCCATCCTATGTGACGTTTGTGCTTTGCTTTGCTGTGCTACGCTATGCTATATACTGTACAGTACTTACAGACGTACGTGTATATATATATATATATACATACATACACACACACACGCATACATGCATTTAATTTTGTATATAATTTTGTAGGTGTGTATCTCAATATTTCTTGTCTTATCGACTACATTTCTACGACTCATACTCCATGTCTTGTCCTGTTTGTTTATTGTGCAGTTGTCGGCTCCAGGCTGTCCACCACTGCCTGAGATCTTCCGCTGGTGCGCGCCGGGATATGGGTGGTTCAGGGTTATAGGGGTCTAGGGGTTTTGGGTTTAGGGCCATGGCAGGGCACGGTGCACGAGGCTTCAGGATTCGATAGCTGAGGGCTTGAGAGTTTGGGGAGGGAGTTTCTGATTTCATTGAGGACACGTTCTGCTTCAAGGAGTGGGGAAGCAGGAGAGAATTTAGAACTTTGGGTTTGAATTTGCCAACATGGCCTCTCGAGTCCGGGGTTCAGGGAGTTCAGGTTCAGATCCAGTGTTTTTTGTTCGGGTTTAGAGACTAGGACCCAGAGTAGGCCCTTATTCCCTGTTGTAGGGTTTAGGTTCCCTTATAACCCCCTTCAAACCAAAAAGGGCACCCTTACTATTCCTAGGTTACCTTCTTGGGTCTACAGCAGAAGCCGAGTTGGAAACCCGATAGCCTCAATCCCTAAGAGCAAAGTAAAGGGAATCCCAGCACGATTTGTCCTTAATCAGGTTTCCAACTTTTTGGAGTTTACAATAGGAGAATGATGGCTGTAAGCCCGGAGCCATGAGTGCTTCAGGGCACAGTGTAGCATGGGCCGCGGGCATCCAAAGCTGCCATCGTTCAGGATTCGGAGCCCTTTCAATCATCGCGGAAATACTGTTGATGATATAAATCCTGCATTACCTTATGGACCCTAAACTACGGGAACTATGGTATATTCCTTATTATGGGTAATGCAGGATGTATATCATCAACCGTAGGGAAGGGGGGACGGGGAGGGACACGGAGGACGGGAGGGTTCCTGAAAGCTTCGCGCGTCAGGTCGGAAGAGCGCAGGCGTCTTCGCAGCCTTTGAACTGAACCTTCGGGTTTCACTGCTTTCCCTGGCCTGCTGGCGACTGTCTTTCTTGACAGCTTAGGGTTGGAGGTTCAAGAGTATTCTAAGGGGTTCTACGGTTGATGATATAAATCCTGCATTACCGATAAAAAGAAATATACCATCAGTCCCATAGTTTAGGGTCATGAAGGTACTGCACTCAACCGTACCAGGGTTGAGGCTTCTATAGGAGTTCCATGAGCAGTCTATTGGGCCGCAACAGCTCGCGATTTGTATAGCGGCTTGGATATTTGACTTGGGTTTGAGAGGGTTTCGGCTTATGGTCGAAGGGCATTTGGTTTAACGAGGGCGTAGAGGCTATGCAACTCTAGGCTCCCGTTACCTCAATAGCGGTTTCATTTCTATAGCCAGATAATATGTAAGCCTGTAGCCTTTTACTATAGGTAACCGTTATTATTTCTGTAATTGGTCGGGCATGGAGGCTATATACATGAGTAGGGAGGTGGGATTCACGGGCTAAGCTGAATGGTTTCGGGCGCTGGGCCTAGGGGATTGGGGTTGAGAGGCTTGTGTCGAGGGTTTTAGAGCTCCCGCTGACGTATAGGGCATCGAACGTAACTCTTGGATTCGGTTGAAGAGCTACTAAAGTCTTCGGTTTGAGGTCCCATTGCACGGATACAAGTTTTGGGGGCCCAGTATACTCTACCTCATGCGGCTTACTCAAGGTGTAGGCGGGGATGGGTAGACTCTTTGTTCGTTCTGGTAGTGATCACTTAACGGGTCATGGGGCTTAGTAACTAGGCTTATAATTAAGGTAACTATACCTATAATTACTTATAATCCCATTTAAGGTACTCATAACCCTAATTACTTTTGAGTCCCATGATCCTCCAAGTAAGTAGGGTGTCCTAGAGGGGAACGAAGAACAAGCCTCGCGGGCACGAGAACCACGTCCTCGAACCTGTGCTCCCGAATCCAAGCCCTTAGGAAAGGAGCTCTGAAGATCTAAGTACGCCACTGAAAGGGCCATATAATATAGGGGCCTTAATAATTAGAATAGGGTTCGGGTGTACTATACGGGTCGAGCCTGGGGATGTTGGGTTTGGGGCCGTTGACGTGTGGGTTGTGTAAGTCAGGTATAAGTCCTAAAGGCGACAAGCCAGTCGGCGCGGGCCTGTTGGTAGATGCGCGGGTGAAATCAGCCCGCAACTCCTTCAGCTAGTTTGGGACCGTGAGCACATTGCCATGCTATACGGGACAGCTTAATCCTTCAAGGCAGTTTAGGGCTTTGGGTTTGAAGACAGTTCGTCTTGTGATCATATGGTCTTGTGATTCTGTTCGGAAACTGCTCTGCATGCTTCAGCCGAGCGACACGATGTTCGCGCGGCTCCGCTCTGCGGTACAGGCACTCCCCATCTCCAGGACGCACATGGCGCCCAGAAGGGGCTGAGCAAAAGCTTCAGCTGACCAGCTTGAAAAACACATCTGAGCTTTCAAGGTTCCCAAAATCCCCAAAGCCCCAAAGCCCATCAAGCCTATCCCCAAATACAAGGGTTTCTTCGCCGTTATCTGCCCTGCAGTTTTCCATGAGCCTACAGCCCCGCATCATCTCCATAGCTCAGTTTAAAGAAAACACTTGGAACCTTTTGGGTTCCCACCAGCCTCCTGAAGACTGAAGGCCGTGCCAAGTTCAGGCAGCTAAGTGGGTTTGGGGTTTTTGGTGTAGGGTTGTTTAGCGCAACAGGCACAGACCTCTGATACATACCTCTCCTTCGATGGGGAGCACAATAAAAGGGCCTTTGAAGACGGGTTGTATCTTAATCCGAGGGCTACCCTATGGATGGAAATAGCGTTCATGGTTCACGTGCTAAGTATCTAAAGTTTGAAGGTTACAAGTATAGCCTAGTCACGAGGAGATGCTTCCAATATCCTAATACTTTATGGGTTGTTGTGGTTGTTGCTCTTTATTTACTTGCGGCGTCAACCTACGTTTTGCGCATCTGTACTTCGTGTTTATGCGATCGCAACCCTGCGCTTCTGTAGATCTGAGGGGGGGGTGGCGGGTGCAGGTAGATCCTAAGACGTGCGCTCGTTGGCCCCAAGCTGTGCCAGGCAGGAGCAAGCCCATTTTCTCGAGGCGCTTGAGGCCCTGGACCAGCCGGAGTACGAACAGCTGCTCGTAACCAATTTGGAGGCTTAGGGGGTGTCGGGTTGTGTTTCAGAATCTGGTCATATCTAAACCCTAAACCCCATAAACCCTAAATCCTAAACCCTAAACCCTAAACTCGTTGAGGGTTGGTGCTCACTAGCAATCAACCTGAAGGCTCTTGTTCGTTCATCCCTGCGCACTTGGGGCATGGTTTGCTCCAAAACCTTAGGGTTCTGCTTCCTTCTTGTTGAGGCTGCTACGAAACTTATAATGAGGATCTATGATATAAGTTACCATATTAGAGATGCACAGTGCCTCATGCTTTCCTTGTCTGACAAGCGAAACCAGTCTCTTACAGCCCTGCCTGAAGAAGGTCGATATGTTTTTTCGTGCCTGTTTTGTTTCCCTAAAAGCCCAAGTGCTCAAAATAGTAGGGTTTCAAGGTCGGAAAACCCGTTCAGAGTATGGATTTTGGTACCTCAAACCCACTATTGGGGTACTTGGACCCTCAGGGTTTGGCAGCAGATGTAGAACCCCAATTCGGGCTTGGGGTCTAAATTCTACACTTTGCATGTCCGATTCAAACGCGAATCCCTACAAACCCTTACCGAGCCTTGCTCTATAGCCTTTAGCCTATGGCCCACTTAGCCCCTCAATGAGACACCTGGGTCCCAAATAACGATTCTACTGGTCCTTCTCGGTCCCTATGCTTCCGGGGACCTTGTTGTTCGGTCTCGGGTTTTTAGGGTTTAGGGACCTTACCTTCCCTGTCCCTAATGGTTTACGGCCCCAACCGTAAGGTCCTTGGAAGCACAGGCTTTGGTATTGGTTCGCTGTCATACGAAATCCGTGGAAAGGGACGCTGGCAAGCCTGATAGACAGCTCAGGTTCGACGACTTCCTGGAAATGGTTTGTTGGCTGCATACAACTACATGGCGCTACACCTCAAACCTTAGTTCCTTAACCCATAAGCCCCTACAATCCCTTCGAACCACTGTAGCCCAGACTTCTGGGAGGATCGAAAAAGTTAGATCCCCAAAAAAGGGCTCCTAATTAAGTACCCTTTAGTAGTATGGGGTCCCAAATTGTGGGATCTGCTTTCCGGATCCTCCCGGGGGTCTGCGTATAATTGGCTATAGTTGGCCGGGACAGGTCATTGAGTTTGGCTATGTGACTCTCTTCGCATCGGCTTTCCCCCTGGCCGGTGTCATGTCCATCGTCAGTGCCTAGACTGAATTGGTCAGCCACCGACAGGATCTAGAAAGTAATGCCCGAATTTAATTTGGGATTCTCTACTAAGCAGTACTTTAGAGGAACCCCCATTAGGGGATCTACTTTTAATGCATCGTCCCAGGGGTCTGGGTAGGGCTAGTATGTGTGATTATAGGTTGCGAGTATGTGTAGCTAGAGTTAAACCTACCTACAACTCTTTGACCCAAACTCTCTATGCCCTAAACTCTCAGACAGGTGAACCCAGACCTTGCAAGATACCCTTGCTAGCCTTAACAGACCCCTTATAAGCTCCCATGTAGGTATGCATGGTGTTGTCCGGTACCTTTCCCTTGCGAGCCGAATCGCTTTTAAGGTGGGTTGCTCGGAGATTATGGATAATACAGGGTTCGTACAGTTCCCCAGGGGATGAACGCACTTTTCGGGTAACTGGGCTCCCAGGATTCAACAGGGATTTTGGCGATTTTGGGGTTCGTGTTTTGGGATTTAGGATTGAATCTTAGTGGTGGAGTATAAGAAAGTGACCTGCAGGCTTCCAGGGGCTACACATATACTACCTTGCTTTAGGGTTCTTATGTGCAGCGCACAGAGATAAGACCGTTGAGACCACGATGTGGAAGTTGTAGGTGCGCCGGGGTAACCCGGTACTCATGATCGACGTGAAATTCTGAAACTCAGTTGTTTTCCTCACTCCTGCGCCGGCCTCGTTCGCCTGCGACCCGAGTTCGTTCGATAATCGCACACTTTCGTGCTCCGGAAGAAATAAGTGCCGCGCATGTTTGTTGTTGTTCAAGGGGGGACGTGCTTTTTTCGCTCCTCAAAGCTCACACAATTTTGACTCCTGCGGCTTCTTCGTGGTCCCTGCAACCTAAGCCGTAAACCCTAAACCCTTGAACCCTAAACTAAACCCTCAAACCCTACACCCTAAACCCCTAAACCCCTAAACCCTAAGCCCCTAAACCCTAACCCCTAAACCCCAACCCTTAGCCCTAAACCTGTGGTTTTGGGGACACGCCCAGGCAACCTATAGATCCCTTAAAGGAACCCCTGTAGATCCCTTAAAGGATCCTATGGTTTTGGGGGCCCCACGCTCATCCCAGGCAACCTCATCGAGATGAAGTCAGACATGTTCAAGCTGGCCCTGGTCTACCAAAGGCATTTTTTGGTTTGAGGTTTTTAGGGTTTTAATGGGTTTAGGGTTTTAGTGGGTTTAGGGTTCAGGGTTTGTAATGGGACCAATACAGCTTGGGGGCCTCTCGTGAGCAACAGTCACTGTTAGTAGGGTTGTGGGTCATGAGGCGTTCAGCAGGGTCATAGGAGTCTTTTTGGAAGTTCGCATTATGGCGTGAAAAGAGACCGCAATTCATGTAGGGTCTGGGGCATGGTCATATACATATATATATATATATATGTATATGTAGAGTTTCGAGCATACAGTTCGGTGAAGGGTCTAGATTTCTACCGAAGTCCCTGCCTAAAGCTGTGCCGAAGGCCAATGCCGCACCGAGCGTCCAACATTGGCATCTGGAGAACGCTTCTCCACATCATCGTGGCGTTCTCCGTAGCGACAAACGCACCAGGGATGCAAGTAAATCCGAAACCCTGAACCCTAAACCCTGAACTCTAAATTGTGAAGGGCTTCTGGGGCGCGAATGTGAAGTTGTGTAGAATCACTCAGAGCCTCCCGAAACCTGCGAGAGCTCTTGCAGAAAACGTGAAAGTGCTAGCACTGCTCTTGCTGTTGATCCATCCATAAGCCCTCAACCCCTAAACCGTAAACACACCGGTCTCTCGGAAGCATTTCCCCATGATCGCTCCTACCGACATCCGGTCCCGGACTCACGACCTGTAGGCCGCAAGACGTCAGTGGGTTCTGATGTATCTTACGAGCATCACTCGGCTTCCATGCCTTCTGCCTTCATGCTCCAGTGCCCCATGTGCAGTCCCCTCCGTTTTTAAATCCCGGATCCCAGACACCATCAGAGGGTCAAGGCACCAAAAAAAAGCAGTTCCAAGAAATAGCAGTTGTGACAGCAGCAGCATTGCTGCAGTCTGTCGTCCCGACATGCACCCCTCAACCTCCGCTCCCAACCTGAACCCCGCAAAGCCTCAGCCCTCGATTCTGCAACCTGTTTCAAACTCAATGCCCAAAGCCCCAGGTCATGATTTTCACCATGAGCGAACAGTTCGCATCTTGGGCACCTGGACTTTACCGCGAAGCGAGCATTCACGACGTGCATGGTGGACCATCGGAGAGAGTGCGGGGTTAGAGCTTAGGGGTTTATGGCACAGGTTTTACACAGATTGTACTAGATGGGTTCTATAAAGGTTGTGTCATGGCTTGGCAACAGCTTTGCAAAGTTCGTGCCGAAAGGTACCGAGCATGAAGTGTGTTCTGGCGAATGAAGATATCCCTGGGCACTGGAAGTAGCTACGCCGAAGGTCCTGAGAATCATAACGGATGCAGGACTACAAAGCACTAGTTAGTACAGTATAACTATAGCTGGTAGTAATGATAGTAGCAGTGACTGATTCTAGAGACACCAGCAATAAAGACTGCAATCGTCAAAGGAAGCATCTACATCGCAAACAGCAGCATGTACTTGAGACGAAGTTCCTCGGAGCCTTCGAAAGGACTCTTGGCCCAAGCCACCGACGCGACGACCGGAACTGCTGACCTGGTTTTTCGTCGGGAAATCACTGAAGATCCCTGAGGTTCGCCCGAAGAGTCCAAGGTACTCGCAATGACTAATCGATTTTTTAGTGGCTTTGTCGTGGTTGCAGGGCTTTTCGCCCTTGAAGCATGCGGTCATTTTGATTTTGTGCCGGAGTTTCTGCTTTAAGGCTCTGAGAGTGACCCTGTGGACCTGTATTCCCTAAGTGTTCTCTGCAACTCCGCCCAGGTCATGCGTCAAGGCCACGTGGGGATGGCCGGTTCGCCTTTTTCAGATGCTCTGGTAACCCTCAGAGCCCGTGTGTCCATATAACATATACTCAGACCCCATTGTGCCTCTGAAGAGATACTTTAACGGCAGTATGTATGTATGTATATATATATATATATATATATATATATATTATATTATATTATATATATATATATATACTATTTGGGTAGCATCCGTTGGCCCTTCGCCTGTGGCGGGAGTTACTGGGGCCGGGGTGCAGCTAAGGTTGACTGTCGGAGTTCGCTTTGGTGTTCAAGGCATAGGCACATACCCTTGAGAGGTATTTATGAGGATTTGACAAGAGCGGCTTGGTTCATGGTTTAAGATTTCGGAGTGTGGGGGTTAGACAGTCCGCGGTTCTGATTTCAGGCTTGTTTGTGGTTCGTGGCTTCTCGGATTGCGCCAAGTACCCGAACTATATGCATCGAAGTACCCTCTATTGTGCACAAGTACCCTTATAAAGACTATAAGGATGTACTTTGGGCGTCCTGGTACCAGTAGTGACAGTAGTGTTTAGTTCAGGGTTTGGGAATCAGAGTTCATGTTTGTGGTCTCAAGGATTTCAGTCTGCCAGTCTAGCTTGTGCTTTGTAAACAAGGCCTGCGCGGGGTTGCAGCGTAAGATAGCTTAAGGCTACACGTGGGTCCGACCTTCTCGGGTTTGGCTATCATAGCTTGAGTTAAAGCAGGGGCAGCACCACAAAATGTCTGTGTAGGGGTCGAGGTACCCATATCCTATATATATATATATATACATATACTTAGGCCATATCAAAGTATCTACTATATGGGCACATGGACCCTTGCGGATATATGTTTCAATTTCTTGTTCTCAAGGCTTTTCAAGTCTTTTCCCAAGCGCTTTGATGTTTTGTGTTCGTGGAGTGTGATGTCTGCGCCCAGTATATGTCCGGAACAACTAGCAAGCATGTTGCAGTTGGGAGCCTCTCTCTCTCTCTCTCTTTCTCTCTTTCTCTCTGTCTCTCTCCAGCCCGAAGACATTGAGTGCGGTCCGATGCATGGACAGGCTCAGGACGCTATGTGATCTTTTCCGCCACAGGCTCCGTGTTGCAAAGTAGCAGATCCCGACTCTGTCGTTGTGCTTGGTGGGGGGTGGAAGGATGCGAGTGGTGAGTTTCTATTTGTCGTGTTCCAGGCTGATGTAGTGTTGAGACTTGGGGCTTCACTCTAGGGTTTGCAAGAGTTCGTTCCGCTTCTGGTACTCTGAAACCGGCGCCCTCATTGTTCGAACCTTACTGCGTAGTGTATCCACTGGTACCATGGACCTGGCCCTCAACCCCCTGAGGATGTGGCAGGCACGCCCCGTCTCACAGTTCCGTGCAGTTGTGAGTGTTGTGGATGATGTGGGCATTTGGTTCTGGACTCATGCACCACAAGTTGGAGGTACTACCAGTTTAGGTTTCAGCTTGCTTTCTGAGTAGGTAGCCTTTAACTTTTCGGTGTTTATATAACCCTACCATACTTGTGAAGGATAGCCGTAGGCTGGGGTACTCAGCCCCTAGGTTAGGAATCTCGGGTGTAGGGCATATCTACCTATGTCAGCTACGAATCTCCCTCAGAGGGGTTCGCAGTATATTCCACTGTCCCCAAGCCCTATACTCCCTGTGTGTGGCACCTCGACCCGTAGTGATCGCCAACTCATCCACCATCGTCATCATAATCGTCATGCCAGCAGCCTGCGCACCTGCTTCGAGTCAACACGTTGTTGGGGTCACCCGTATGTTGTTAGATATCTTGATTGTGCTCCTGGAACCAGCCATGCTAGCCCACCAAACTAACTTAAGATAGATCCCTGTGTCAGGCACCCTCCAGCAGAAATCCTGAAACCCTAAACCCTAAACAAAACCCTAGCTTTGCTTGAGAGCCTGTCTTCGCTTGCCAGTCTTGGAGCATCTGGTTGGTTTGGCCGTCCTCATCGCAGCTTCGTCCTGGAGTGTTTGGTGCAGTCTGATTTGTTTAGATCCGTTTGCAAGAAGATCTGGATCTTCGACATCGCATGCAGTGGTATGTCTCCAGACCAGAGCAAAACCGCCTGCACGACATCTAGAATATGAGTTCGTTCTCGGGATGTGTGCCTCAAATCCGTTCTTGTATTGGTCGCTTCGAACGACACACTAAATCCCAAATCGTGCTGCTGACCATCTACCGGTTGCACTCAGGTGATGGCTGCCATCCCACGTGAACCGGTGCCTCGGAAAAAGAAACAAAGGGCCCGATTTAGGGTTTATGGTTCTGGTGAAGACTTTGCGACACAGGGGGATGACTAGCAGGACTGTGGCCCCCGGCAACATGTTTGTCCACATCACGAGAGCCCCAAGTGGTGGGTTTGGGTTTGAGTTTAAGTTTGGGTTCAGGTTTGAAGGTTTGGGTTTCAGGTTTGGGGTTGTGGGTGCGGAGTCTGTGAAACCTCAACTGCACAATCCAACAGCCCGAGTATTCGTAAACGGCCCGACCGTGCAAGCCTACTTAACGGGTCATGTGGGGCTTGTATTATCGATGATCCTACCTATAGTCTCCATGGTAACAATACGATCCTAAATCTAGATTGACCATATAAAAGGAACTACAATAGAGACTAAAGTTGGTTCTATCCGAACGGCTTACTATGTCCACTGCTTCCTGAGATCAATGCTTTTATCCTCAAAGGGTCCTAGGCACTGTTACGGGCGATACTCCCCAAATCATAACAGTAGTTCCTAAGAAAAGAAAGCCTACATGTTATTATGTAGGTACTTTGGACCGTCTGAGACCCCCAAGGAGTCCCTAAACCCTCAACCCAAAACCCAAACCCCAAGCCCGAGGAGTGGGTCTACTCTGAGATTCTGCGGACGAAGCGCTTCAAGGCTTTCCGCGCGAAGGACCGGCCCTGCCGCGGAGTAGAATAACATAGGGGCCTTAGTATTTAAAATAGTGTTTTGGGGTATGTTACAATGAACGGTTATAATATGGAACCCCCCAAAACCAAACTACAGTACGTTTGCGTGTATAAGGGATCTATACGGAATGCGATAAGGGCTTCCTTTATGCTTCATGGACGGTTGGTTCTAAGCGACACTTCTGACACTTGGCCGTAGAGAACCTCCAAGCCCTTGTGTTAAATGTTTGCACCTGTTGCTTGCGAGGTCGTGGAGGGGTTTGATCGTTTGGCCAGGTCGGTGTCGAAGGCTTTTAGAGCCGATGTTTAGCATGGGGTACCGGGTTTTGACGTTTTAACCTGATGAAATATCGAAAAGAGGTGCAAGGTTGGGTCCATCCACGCACCCACGAACCCTGCACCCTGAACCATGAACCGTAATCTCTGCACTGTAGACCCTGACCGTATAAACTCAGGGTCCGGTCTTAGGGGTGGTAGGGTTCAGGCTGTCTCGAATTGAGTTAAAACTTGGCTGGGGGGGATGAGCGTTTCAGTGTGTTTGGTAGTTCGACGACTTCTCTACAGCATTGAAAAATTCCCCGCCGCTGCTGCAGTTAACCACTATCCACCAAATAGGTATCTGGTGGTAACTGGGGCTCCGAACGCCAGTTTTTGAGCTGCGATCAAAAAGGGCACCCTTGAAGGAAGCATTGTTCAAGAAAGTAGTGGGCCTGACCTCTGCAACACACGGTTCAGCCCTCACTTTCCTAAGTGTGTAGCCACTGGTGCCCCTTAAACTCCTAAATCCTGAAGGTAAACCCTTGAACCCTAAACCCTAAACCTGAAACCCTTAAACCCTTAAACCCTCAACCTGAAACCCCTAAATCCTAAACCCCTACACCCTAAACCCCCAAATCCTAAACCCCGAAACCCTGAACCCTAAACTCGCTTTCTGGAGGAAGCTGCCTTTGGATGGTTGAACGACCAGAAGCCAGCTGGAGATCGTGGATGACCGAATCGAAGGCATCTTTCTGGGCTTGACCTCAGGTTGAATGAAGTTTGATGTTGAATGTTGGGCTTTTGTTGTCTAGGTAGGAATGCTGCATCATATAAAGCTGAGATTGAAGATGAAGCACAGAGACTGCATGGATTTGGGTTTATAGTTCAGCAGCTCAGCAACCGAAACCCCAAACGTTGGACAATTTCTAGGTTGATGGCTCCGCTCCGAAGCATCGGTTGCTTCTGAGGCTCAGAATATGGTATACGCACGTCTAGCATGTTACACCCTTACAAACCATGAAACACGACAACACTTTAAAACCTAAAGCCTGCAGGCCTTATAAACCTATACATAACCCCAAAGCCTCAAAGCCCAAAGGCCGATACTCCCTAAAATGCTTAAACACCGTAAACCTTATAAAGCCTTAAACACCAAACTCGTCCGAAAACCGAAAAACTGCAGGACGGAGCATTGAGTCATTGAGGTCCAGGACATGGAGCAGCAACATGGATGACGAGGTCGAGCCGCAGGCGTGTGAAGCTGCGGGACGGCTGCTGCTGCTGCTGCGCCCAGCACGGAATGCAGAGTGCAGAAAGAAGCGGTTGCTTTTGCGGCTTTGGTTTTAGTCTTTCCTCAAAAGGTTGGGCGAAACGATTCAGTTAGCTGCCTTTGGCGATGAAATATACTGCTTCGGTTGGGGCTCTAGTTACCCTTGTGTTTGAGTAAACAGGTAGTAACATTCAGTCATGATGCCCCTCAAGCCCAACCCCATAATTATTAGATTGTAGACTAGGTATGATCTACCCCCTAATCCTGTTCTAAGAAGGAAGGCCCCACATATAGTTCGACGGGCAACATTGATGCCAAGGCTACGATGATGCCAGCGTTGCCGTTGCCACAGGCCCTCCCTTCACCGACTACCGTGAGTGTGTGGAGTTTTGGCCCTTTGGAGTTTAGTAGCTTCGCTGTTTAAAGAGTTTCGGCGTTTAGGATTTAGGGAGGGTTTTCGCGTTTGGCGGCTCCTTCTTCGTAATTCATTGCAAAGTGTGCTGAGCTTGTTGCGTCGAAGTTATTTGCCGACCAAGCTCGTATTCGCTTCAAATCTAAGCTTCGAGTGGGTTCAGCTCTGCAAGCACTCTGACGTTTGATCTTGTCGTCATGCTCTTTCATATTCATCTTTCACTTCTTCTGACCTGAAATGGGAGAGTGCGACTTTTGTGGTTAGGGGGCGAGCCCTAACCGCTAAATTCCACAATTCCACATAGGTCGCATTGGGTAAGCAACAGGTGGCTAGATCCTTTCCCTAAGAGGCCAGTTGCCAAACAACTGCATACTCCTGTTGCCCTGCATTCCCATACCGCTAGATCCACATAAGTTTCGTTACTTTGGACGCCTCGGCATAGACTTCGGCATTGCGCGCTCCAACCCACGTTGTTTTGAACAGTTCCCGTTGACACTTAATGTAACTGTAGCAAGTAGGAGAAGCCCAAAAGAAAGCCGTCTGCCCCGTAATGTAGGAGCCGCAGTAATTATAGAATAGGAAACGGGGGGGGTCCTTAGTATAATTATTGTATAACATACCCCCAAAGCCCTAGTCTAATCACTAAGGCCCCTACATTACCCTCGAATTTCCAACAGCCTAGAACTCGAAAACGAAGCCTCTGGACCCTACTATTGAAAAATGACGACGATATTCACTTCGGCTTACAAACTTTAGCTCACCAGGACACGTAGACTACCCGAATCACTACAAGATCACAAGACCCTACAGGCCCTAAAGCGCAAATGTTCTTCATCAAAAACCAGCCTTCCTGAAACGAAAAGGCAAGGCAATGGAGAACCCAAACCCAAAAGAAACAGCCCAAAGTAAGCACCTGAAATGCCAAACCCTCGAAAACAGGCGGCTTCTGGCGAGGCCATTGTCAGGGTTGCTGTTCGGCCGTAGCTGAATTTGTGTTTCTTGTGTTTAATTAGAGCTTGCCGGTGGATCCATCAGTTTGATGCTTTGGCGGCTTTCTTTGTAGCACTGGGGTCACATCCTAATATCCTGCAGCGTTTAACGGCTGCAGGTCAGTCTCGAAAGTTGCTTGAGGCTCAGACCTTTCAGGCCGAGTCCCTAAGCTTATTTGGGTGGTTGTCAAAATTATGGTCCCTTTTGGCAACCCTAAATATTAGGTGCCGTACTATATTATGGACCGAAAAGGTGCCATATTTTTTTAACAACCACCCTGTTGAAGCCCTAAACCTTGACCCCGGTCTATGACCCTGACCCCCCCAAGTCCCTTTAGTGTACCCAGTACCCACTATTCAGGACCATAAGGACTCCATTAAAGGGCCCTTGGCCTGACCCCCTAAACCCAGAGACTCCAATATCCCTTAATTAAGGAATATACCTTAAATGATATTAAGGATCCGACTATAATTTAAGGTATGTTCCTTAATTATGGGATATTGGAGTTTCTGGGAACCCTACACCCAAACCCTAAACCTCAAATCCTAAGCCCTAAACCCTAAACCCCAAACAATATTTGAACCCTGAGCCCTAAACCCAAACCGTAGACCCTAAACCCTAAATGGGCGGTTGTCAGAATCATGGTCCCTTGTTGGGTCCCTATTGTAGTACGGCACCTACTATTTAGGGTACCCAAACAGGGACTCTCATTTTGACAACTACCCATGGGACTTAGTAAGCAAGGTCCTTAGAACCTTCATTGGGGTTATAAGTAATTATAAGTATAGTTACCCTAATTATATCCCTAGTTACTAAGTCCCATGGCCCTTTAAGTAAACCCTTAAATTAAACCTTAAACCCTAAATCCCTAGACCCTAAACCCTAAATCCTTAAATTAAACCCGAAACCCTAAATCCCTTAAGCGGCAAGGTGCAGCTCCAGGACTGTGCCGACCTCGACGAGACTGACGACACGCAGCTGGAGGCTTTGCAAGTCGTTCTCCTTTCCGAAGGAATTAGGGTTTTACAGTTGAGGGCTTGGGGGTTTTAGGGATTAGGAAAGTTAGAGGGTCCATTTATATTCTACCAGCTACTACAATCATGGAACTAGGTCCCAAAAGACCTTCTCTTATGGTTCGGGGGACCTAATTTCATAATGGTAGTATATACTGACCCTACGGTTTAGGGTTTTGGGGTTTAGGGTTTAGGGGAAAGTTAGAGGTCTGCTCGAGTACCTTGGTTCAGGCTCTGGGATCTCCATCCGAGGACCGAGCTTAGAAGTTCGTGAGCAAAAGCTCGACCCTAAACCCTACACCCTAAGCCCCGAAGCCCTACCTGGACCCTCAAAGTATGTAAAATAAAAGCCTTTTATGGGTATTGGGCCATAATTTTGCCTACTTTGGGAGGTTTAGGTAATACCTCCTTAGATTGAAACCCGAACCTTCTGCTAGCGCGCACCAATGTGCCGTTTCTACTATAAAACCGCTTAAGACTAGACTGTTACTGCGCTTGGTACTGTTCGTGCACATGCTGCTATCTCTGGTGCTTGCAGCAGCAGCAGCAGCAGTAGCAGCAGTAGCAGGAGGAGGAGGAGGCGGAGGAGGAGGGTGCAGAGACTGATACTACTGCCGTCGCATGTCCTGCTGTTGCTTCGGCTACCTTTTCTGCTGATCCTGATCACTGATCATACAGACGACCCGTGCTCCTGATGATGATGACGACGACGACGATGATTAGTGCGGGGCTGGTTCGGTTGTAACGATCCTCATGTTTCCCTGCCCAAAGCCCGATCACCAACATGGCAGTGTTGCCGTTAGTCGTGATGGTGATGTCTCATGGTGGTGATGACGTGACTAGCCATCTCCTATCGGACAAGGAGAAGAAGCTGTGACTATGGGAAGCACCGGTCTATATAGGTTTAGCCATACATACAGCTTTCAAAGTGGTACGCCAGGATGCTCGGCTGCGGCGCAAAGAGGATGAGCTCCTGTCCCGGCGCGATCGACTCGGGCTGCTGAGCTTCAATGATGATTCGAAATAGCGGGATTGCTGCTGTTCCGCTGATGCTGTTTCTTCCATTCGGTGCTAAGTACGGAATGGATCCCTATAGTAGCCCCTTTATAATCCGCAATAGTCGTCCCCATAATCCATTCCCCCTTTCCCTACTAAGCATCAGGGAGTTGATTGCAGGCATCCGTTGACATCACCCATCACCAGCCCAGCCTTTGGAGCGAGCCCTCAACCACCATAGACCCGATGTACGCCTTTTATTTCGCATGCAGCCTTAAGCTCAGAGTTCATGTTGAATTATTATAAGCCTGTGGAATGAGGTTGTTAGGCCGTGGCACGAGTATTATTAAAGGCTATGAAGTGTGCATACCCTTCGCTTTCAAGTTACAGTACAAGCACGACCAACCACTGTGTGTTGCCACGGTAGGCTCTTACCCTGAACCCTAAACGGCCTTAAACCCTAAACCTCTAAACCCCAAACGCTAAACTCCTAATTTAAGCCCTAAGCCCTAATTAAACCCTTAAAACACCTGTGTTGGCAGTTGAGCCTGAACTGAGCCTCATCTCATGCATGGTTTCTGTCAGGCAGTTGGAAGGATCCAGTGACCTTGCGTTGTGCCACTACCCAAAAAATTGCAACTCTCGAAACAGCTGCAAAGCAAGACCTGACAAACCCATATAACACCCTTCTTCACACTGTCCACCCCCCTAATCCCTGAACACTAAACTTCAATCCTTGAGACCTATAGACCTAAAACCCTCAACCCCAAACATTAAAACCTGTAGTCCTGTGGACCTCCTCCTAAACCCTAAACCGACGACCTGAACCTTAATCCTGCAGCTCGCAATTAAGGTTACCAAACCCTAAACCTACGCCCTAAACCCAGAGACTCCAATACCCTTAGTTAAGGAATACTATAGTAGGGTCCCTACATAATATGGCCTTAACTAAGGGATATTGGAGTGTCTGGGAATGCTAATCTCAGGACCCTGAGTCCGGCAGAGGAGGCCCGCCTAGCCGATCTCCGACAACAGAGGGCCGCGCTGAAGGT